CCTTGGGAGCCAAGCAAAAGCAACAGCAAAGGTAAAAGCAAACGCGCGGTTCCCCCAGTTGCGCCCCCTTGGTGCCAAGCAAAAGCAAAAGCAAAGGCAAAAGTGAAGGCAACAGCGAAGGCAAAGCAAACACATAGCATCACATAGCATAGCATAGCATAGCATAGCATAACGCAGCATAGCATAGCGCAGCATAGCATGGCATAGCCTAGCCTAGCCTAACCTAGCCCAGCATAGCATTGCGCAGCATATCATAGCCGAGCAGAGCAGAGCATAGCATAGCACAGCATAGCGCAGCACAGCATCCACAGCAAAGGGGCAATGCAAAGCAAAAGCAAAACCAATGCGAAAGTGTAGGTGTAGATGTAGATGTAGATGTAGGTGTAGGTGTAGATGTGGATGTGGGTGTAGGTGTAGATGTAGATGTAGATGTAGATGTAGGTGTAGATGTAAATGTAGATGTGAGTCTCGCTGTTGATGTAGATGTAAATGTAGATGCAGGTGTAGATGTAGATGTAGCTGTAGGTGTAGATGTAGATGTAGGTCTACATGTAGATGTAGGTCTCGATGTAGATGTCGGTGTAGATATATATGTAGATGTAAAGAACTCTCCAGTGCCCCGCCCTCATCTCCGTGCCTGCTTGCTGTTGCTGCTGTCTCGGCGACTTGCTGCCTGCTTCTGCTGCTGCTTCACTTACGGCGTGGCGTCGGCGGTTCTGGCGCTACTACTACTACTACTACTACTACTACTACTACTACTACTACTACCACTACTACCACTACTACTACTACTACTACTACTACTACTACTACTGCTACTACTACTACTCCTACTACTACTACTACTACTACTACTACTACTACTACTACTACTACTACTACTACTACCGCTACTGCTACTGCTAAAACTACGACGATGAGGAGAAGGAGGAGGTCGACGTTTACCACTCCTACTAATGTTGCGTCCCTAGAGGCTCCAACTCCTAGGTAGGGTCTCACTGGGATAATTTGTCTTGGCTTCGCCCTTGCAACGGCGGACACCACGGGACACCACGGGGCACCACGGGACACCGCGGGACACCGCGGGCCACCGCCGCACGGGCGGGCGGGGGAGAATCATTTGTCTTGATTTTCCCCCAGCAACGGCGGTTACCACGGGACACCACGAGACACCGCGGGACACCGTGGGCCACCGCCGGACGGGCGGGCGGGGGCGAATCATTTGTTTTGGTTTCGCCCTAGCAGCGGCGGGTTCATTCCTCTCGCACGCCCACGCAGCTTCGCCTAGCCCGCACGCACGACACGAGCGAAACGATTTCCCGGTTGGGGGTCTCCGTTTCACCGCGATCTCACCCCCCAACCTCCGATTGTGCCAGGGTCGTGGCCCTGGGATCGGAAACCCGCCGTGCTGTAGAAGTGGATGTGGCTCTGGTGTCAAGGATACATTTTTTTGGCGACGAACATGACTCGTGGTGTTCATGGTGGTTATCCACTTAGCAGAGCTTGAAGTCGTCAACCCCATTGCCTGCGCAATCATCCCACCCTCTAACCCGCAAGTTGTTTGGCACAACCCATGCTGCAACGATTGCGGTGATTTCCTGGCACTGGTTGGCGCTTCTGTGCAACTGCGCTAACGCGTGAAAGCTCGTGCGCGGAGCGGCCAGCTGGTTTGGGACAACCTGCGTGGCCGCGATGGCGCTTACCCTTGGGGACTTCCCATCGCGTCTCAAAAGCCGCGCTGGGCACTTCAGTGCAGGTTTGTGACTCGTGCGGGCGCGATATCTTGATGACGTCAACAACGGGAGCAACGATGCTGACAGTAGCGGTGATGGTGGCGACGACGAAGATGACGACAGCAAGGCCAATGACGTTGCCGATGCTGGTGACGACGATGACGATGACGATGCTGGTGATGCTGATGCTGATGGCTGATGCTGATGCTGATGCTGATGCTGATGCTGATGCTGATGATCATGATGCTGATGATGATCATGATAACGGTGATGATGATACAGATGATGATGATGATGATGATGCTGATGATGATGATGATGATGATGATGATGATGATGATGATGATGATGATGATGATGATGATGATGATGATGTCCATGTGTCGGTGATGACGGCGATATGCGGATAACGATGGTGCTGCGGTGGCCCTGGTGAGGGTGATGGTGGGGAAGATCGCTCGCGGAGTCGCTACGAATCGGGGCAAGTTGTTGGCTGACCTTCGGGTGTTTGCCATTTGCGTTCGTTGGGCTCTGTGTTGGCGTGCCTCGGAAGCCGATGGCGTTGGAAAGAGTTCGGCACGCTCGCGTGGCGGCGCGCACGTGCGGCCCGCCTGGTGCTCGTTGATGAGGAGTCGTGCACTGTGGCGCATGCTGCGTCAACGCGGATGCACGGCGTGGTTATTCGAGAAAGAACTTGGCATCGCTCGGACGTGCGCATGTTTCCTTCGGCGAGGACCATCGAGGAGCATCCTTGATCATTTGGCGGAAAGACCACGCACGAAGCCGAGAAAAAAACAGGGACTGGACGTCCGAGCGATGGCGAGGTGACGATTGTCGGCGAGATTGCTAAAACCATGTGGGTTTCATGCGGTTTCAAGAAGTGCGCGCGGGCAGAACATCTGCCAGATGTGTAATGCAGACCCACAAGCTGTCATGTTTGTCCCCCAAGCGGTGCTTGCCCTTAGGGGATCTGGCTGCTCCTCCAAGAAACTGGACCTGTGCGTCGGTCTGACGGCTATGTTGCCGCCGCCGCCTCGTCGATGCTTCGTCGATGCCTCGTCACCGGCCATCGGCTGGGCCGCTGGACCTGTGCGTTGGTCTAGCGGCTATGTTGCCGCCGTCTCCGCCGTCTCGTCGCCGGCCGTCGGCTCGGCTTGTGCGTCGGTCTGGCGGCCATGTTGCCGCCGTCGCCACTCCGTCGCCGCCTCGTCGCCGCCCGGCGTCTGGGCCTGTCTGTCGGTCCGGCGGCTATGTTGCCGCCGTCGGCGCCTCGTCGCCGACCATTGGCTGGGCCTGTGCGCCGGTCTGGTGGTTATGTTGCCGCCGTCGCCGCCTCGTCGCCGCCACGTGGGTTGCTCCACATCTTGCACAACATATATTGCACCACATGGATCCTCTTTTCTAAATTGAGAATAGACTCTGCCCCCCCCCGGCGTTGTCGGCCCCCCCTTTCGGGTATGTAAATCATGTATGATTATGACCACATGTCCATCCTAAATATAAATTTACAGTGTCCCAGGGGAACTGGTATCGCTCCCCCTGAGGTTCCTGGGTGAAAAAGCAATGCGCGGGGATTGTTGCTCGAACATAAGACTTGTTCACGAATCCCTTGCAACAACTGGGACGAAGTGCACACGCGCGCGTCGCCGCGCGCGCATGTCGAAATCCTGTCAAAACCTTCGGTGTCGGAAGGACTTCGCAATCGAGTTTCCAAAACACATACAATGTCACAGAGTTTCGCAACACTGATTTGCTAAAAAAGCTTACGCGCGAGCTCTTGCGAAATCTTAAGAAAACCTCAGGTGTTTCAAGATTTTTAACAAAACGGGGGCTTCGGGCGCGCGCATGTCGAAATCTGTCGAACGCCCTTGCGCGTGCGCCGTCGCGAGAATCCTCTGCAAAAAATGGGGCGAAGTGCAGACGCGCGCGTCGTCGCGCGCGTATGCCGAAATCCTTCGAAACCCATCGGTTTCGGAAGGATATCAAAATCGTGTGTCGAAAAAAACTACAAAAACACAAGGTTTCGAAACACGGATTTTTAACAAAAGCGTGCGCGCGCGCTCTTGAGTCGTCGTCGTCGTCGTCGTCGCCGTCCTCCCTCCTCCCGCGTCGTCGTCGTCGTCGTCGTCGCATACGTCGTCCTCTGTCTTTCCTCGTGTTCGTCGTCGTCGTCCTCTTTGGCGTCGTGGTCGTTTCCGTCGTCGTTGTCGCCGTGGTCGTCCTTCCTCCTCCTCCCTCGTCGTCGTCGTCTGTCGTCGGCGTTTCGTCGTCGTCCCTCCTATTTCGTCGCCGTCGTCGTCGTCGTCGTCGTCGTCGTCGTCGTCGTCGTCGTCGTCGTCTTCCCTCCTCCCTCGTCGTTGTCGTCGTCGGCGTCGCCGTCCTTCCTCCTTCTTCGTCGTTCGCGCTGTTGCCGTCCTCCCTCGTCGTTGTCGTCGTTGTCGTCGTTGTCGCCGTCGTCGTCCTCCCTCCTCCCTCGTCGTCGTCTTCGTTGGCGACGTCGTCGTCTTCGTCGTTGTCGTCGTTGTCGGCGTCGTTGTCGTCTTCGTCGTCGTCAACGTCGGCGTCGTCGTCGTCGCTGCCGTCGTCGTCGTCGTCGTCAAGCGGGCTTCCCGCGCACGCATGTCGAAATCGTTCGAACGCCCTTGCGCGCGTGCTGGGGTGGCACGATCCGTGCCAAATAATTCCATGCGAACCACTCGCGCGCGTCTGCCGCGCGCGCATTCCGATTTTTCCCAAAACTTGCATCACCGGCGCGAAAACGCCGTCATCGTAGTCGGCGTGATCAGCATCGGCGCCGTCACTGGCTGCCCCGTCGTCGCTGTCAGCATCGTCACCAGCATCGCTACTTTCGTCATCGTGTCTACCGTTGTCGCCGTTGCCATGATACCGCGCCCGCCCACATCGCCGACTCGCACTGAAGTGCCCGCTGGGATGCGCCGAGCGGTCGGCGCCACCGCTTTCGCGTCGGTCGCGCCAAAGTAGCTGGCCGCTGCGCGCGCGAGCATGCGCGGGCTAGCGCGGCCGCAGAGATGCACCAGCCAATACCCAGCTGGCATCGCAATCGTTCCCGCATGGACTTTGCAAACAAAATTGCGGGTGGGTGGGTGGGATGATTGTGCGAGCAGTGGAGTTGACAACTTTAAGTTCGGCAAGTGGTTTGAATACTCCTGCCGCAGACTGCCGCGCGAGTGGCGGCGCCACACTCGTTAGTCTCATAAGTGTCTCAGCAATGCAGCTCGCTTTGGAGTCCACGCAGGGGGGGGCCAGTGGATTTACACCACGGACCAGAAGGATCGCGCCGACACCTCGCTGGAGCACCTCGAAGGGCTCGTCGGTTTCTTCCATCAGAAGTTCGGCTTCAATTCCGCTGGCCCCAGCCCTGCTCTCTCTGTGGGCGCGCGATTCACTTACTTTGCAGATTGTTTCCCCGCCGGTTCCGAGGGCGGCACAGCTTTCTCGCCAGCAGGTCCGTCAGCGGCGAGCGATGCCACGCCGATTGCTGCCTCAGAGGAAGACGCTGTGGAGTCGGTCCAGCTCCACTGCTTGTGGCCCTCTTTTCCGTACGGCTCCTTTGTTGACAAAGCAGGTTTTTCGGAGCTGGACCCGCATGACGCAGCGTTCTGGAAGATACGCGTCATGCACTCCAGGGACACCCCGCTGCCGAGGACCCGTCTCCTCCGGAACCTGCTGGACTTCAGGGACGAGGCGCGGGCGGTGCTCTCGGCAGAGCAGAGCGCGCAGCCAAAGATGGCCACGACCGCGCTGGCATCGCTGACCAGCACGATCCAGGAGCACCTGGAGTACATCCTGCTGCCCACGCCCGCCGAGATGAGGTGCATGTCCAGCGAGTGCCTCGACCTCCCCATCGTCACCGGGCGCCCCCCCGACCTCGACGGCCCACACGGCGCCGCCCTGGCAGCGCGGCTGGCGCCCCTGCGGGGAGTGGGCAGGGGCACGCGGCTGGCGAAGCTGGCGGAGCTGGGCGCCGGCATGCGGTGCTTCAAGGGCGCCGTGATGTTGTGGTGCGACGTCGTCGCCACCATGCGGCGGCAGTGGGACGTGGGATCGGAGGGCACCAACTATACACCAACACCGATCCTGGCCCAGGATCACCCTGGGCCCAGGATCGGTGTATATACCTTCTTGCGCAAGGCAGGAGGGCGTATACACCGATCCTGGGCCCAGGGTGATCCTGGCCAGGATCGGTGTTGGTGTATAGTTGGCGCCTTCCTAGTGGGAGAGTGGAAACGAGTTGACTCGTAGGCTGTCACGGGGGTGTCGATTGGACGGGGCTGCCGCCGTCGAGCAGAGTCGTGGGCCGTCATGGCGGTGGCTCTGTCGGAAGGGACGGCAGGCGATTAGGCTGCAGCAGGCTGTGAGTAGGTCGCGTAAGTCAGGGATGGGGGATGGCTCCAGACTTGGCGCCGTCCACGATGCCCCCCTATTTGAAAATTACTCACCCCCGAGATTGCGCAGTCTGCATCACCCAACGAGCGAAGGCGCGGCCCTTACGAGGAGGGCGCAAAAAAGTGTATGCTCGAGTGTCTTGCTGTTGTTTTTCCTCCTTACCCGCAGCCCAGGACGGGCCTGTCCCTCTACAGGGGGAATATTCAAAAATATGTGTTGTTTAATTAGTCGGGGGACAATTGTTGAAACATTGTTGGGCATATTTGGGATAACTTTCTGTTTGGGATTTTATATGTTTTCGTCCAAAATCCCCGTGTGGGGGGACAGGCCCGACCTGACAGCAGCCCAGGACGGGCTGGAGCCCTTCGCGCTCGGACGCGTGCACTTTCTTTCTCGGCGGGGCTTATTATTGAGGAGCATCCTGCATCATCCCGCGGGAAAAAAAACACGCACGACCCCCCCCCCAAAAAAACGAGCATTTTCTTTGGGTGGAGGGCAAAGTTTGAAATCTGAAATGCCGTTTCGATGGATGTTCGAGGCTTGACTCTGCAAAAGGTGAATGGCAAGACGGACTGATTTCCGAGGTGCGAAAGCCCATGGTGATTTCACCCTGAGCCCTCCACCCTAAGAAAATGCTCAGAAACACAAGACGGACTGATTTCCGAGGTGCGAAAGCCCATGGTGATTTCACCCTGAGCCCTCCACCCTAAGAAAATGCTCAGAAACACAGGGACTGGGCGTCCGAGCGATGGCCAAAAGGACGGCCTGGAGCCCTTCACGCCGGGGGGGAAGACAAACACCCAGAAGGGGGAAGACAAAGACCCAGAAGGAGGCCAAAAGGGGGGGGGAAGACAAACACCCAGAAGGAGGCCAAAAGGGGGAAGACAAAAACCCAGAAAATATTGGAAAATATGGGGAATACTTTTATTGGTGTGTATTTATTTGTATGTTTGTGGGCCCCTTCAGAAAAAAACACACGCACGAAACCGAAACAAGAAACGCAGGGGCTGGGCGTCCGAGCCATGGCCAACAGGACGGCCTGGAGCCCTTCACGCCGGCGTACCCGCCGCCCTCGCCGGCCACCCGCCGCGCGCCGGCGCGCGGCGTGCGGGCCGAGCTCTTCGGCGCGGCCGCCTGCCTGGCCCAGCAGAAGCTGGAGATGCGGCACGGGCGAAGCATCTCCTTCATGACCCTGACACAACAACATGTAGATCGTTGGTCTGATCGCCGACGCCTAGATTCCTCAAGCAGCGCTTGCACCTAGGGGCTACTACTTGGTCTCTCTGACACAACTGCTCCTGAGTGGCGGTCCAGCTGGCTCGGTGCTGCCCGTCGCCGCCGGCTACCGCCGCCGCCGTCGCCGCTGGCAACTGAGCCTGAGTACTCCAAATCTCGTAACAAAAGGGAGGGGGTCTGGACCCTCCAAGACAAGCCATCTCAGACCTCCCCCGTGGGAGAGCCCTCCAGAACATCGTCCCCAGACCCCCCAGGCCCTCCAAGATGGCCTGGAAGAGACCCCCCCCGAAATGAGACCCCCCTCCCTTTATTACGAAATCCGTGGCTGCTAAATCCGTGGCTGCTAAAGTCGACCTCCGGGAAGTTGTCTCTGCAAGCCCATGGACTGTGTCGCGTGCCGCGCCTCATTCCGGGAACCTGTGTTTTCCTTCCGGGAGAGCCGTTTTAGCAGCCACGGTTTTAGCAACCCTCGCCTAGCTTTCGAGAAGTGGGTAATGCGGGATGGCGATGAATAACAAAAAAATGGGAGGGAACGATTAAAAACATAGTTGTCTGCTATTTCTGCATCATTTCCTGACTGGAGGAGAACGATTTTTTTTCTAAAAAAATGTTCCAGCCCGCGGCCGGTTTTTTTCCAATCGTCATCCCAGGCGCCGCCGCGTGAACACGACCCCCGGTCATTTATCAACCGTCATCCTCTATTACGGAAAGGATGGGCACGATGCCCAACAGCAGTTCCCGTGCATTTTGAACCGGACTCGCCGTCCACCCCGCCGCGGCCTGCGTCGAGTCGAGGCAGAGGGGCGCCTGCCCAACAGCGGCCTCTGTTGGTTTGGGGCAGCATGTGCTGTTGGGCATTGTACCCATTTGTTCAGTACCCATTTCGGGCGTCCAAAGGAGATGTTCCAGAGAAGCGTGGAGGGCCGCGGCACGAGCCCCGTCCTGCCGGCGTCCTCGGCGGTGCAGCTGGCGATTGTGCCCAGTTTGACGAGGGGCCGGGCGAGGATGAAGTCGGCCTGTCTTCCTACAGGGGGAAATTGGAAGGAAAATGAAAATAGTCAAAAAATGCACCAACATTGTCAAAATAGACAGACTGTTTTTTACTATTGTTGCATTTTCCTCTTGTAGAGGGACAGGCCCGGCTTAAGACGAGGAGGAGGAGGAGGAGGAGGAGGAGGAGGAGGAGGAGGAGGAGGAGGGAGGTTGCGGGACCGAGGCGGAGCCGAGGCCAGGTGGAAGGTGGAGTGTTCTGGAGCTCGTTGCCGGGGAGAGGGTGATGCGCTGATGTGGAGGCCGGATTGGTTCGGGAGGATCGCTTCCACTGGCAACGCCTGGCCTCCCGAAAGCAGAGGTGCATGCACGAAGCGGGAGCGCTGTTTCATGGTGGCAAATCGGGAACAAGCAATCGTGCACCACCATCGAATGTCAGAGCGAGGGGGCCGAACGCTCATTCACTGTTCCCGAGTGCGTGGCTGAAGTGGGGATCCGCGGGGAGGATTCTGCTTGTTGTTGTTGTCGTCGTCCCCCCCGCGACCCACCCCGCGACCCACCCCGCGACCCACCCCGCGACCCACCCCGCGACCCACCCCGCGACCCACCCGCGACTCACCCCGCGACCCACCCCGCGACCCACCCCGCGACCCACCCGCGACCCACCCCGCGACCCACCCCGCGACCCACCCCGCGACCCACCCGCAACCCATCCGCGACCCGGCCCGCGGCCCACCCGCGACCCACCCGCGACCCACCCGCGACCCACCCCGCGTTCCACCCACATTGCTTTAACGAAGAAATCGGCGCCTGCGGCGGGCTCACTGCATAATTTGTACAAGTTAGGCGCCTGCGGGGGGGAATCTTCAGAGCCTCGCAGACTGACGACGTCCTCGCCGCCCTCTCACTCTTATCCGCAACTGCGGGTTGCTACGTATCCTTTTTGTTATTGGACCTTTGACCGTTGTGCAAGGCCAGGTTTGGTAATAGTTTGTATTTACATCTGATTCTGGATCCAGCGCCCGCCACCCCCATGGTATCGGGCTGCCCCCCCCAACCCACCACCGATGGGCACTCCTGTGACGGTATGGTGCGACGGTGGGGGCGCGGATGGTTCGAGGGTGGGGGGTGGTGCAACGGAGGCGGGCGTCGCTAACAGAAACGACTAGGCCATGAAGACTCCTTCGCGGCGGCATACCAGAGGGGGGCGTGCTTTCCACGAGCCCCCCCTCCTCTCCACCTTCGTCCTCTTCACTTCCGTACACTCCTTGCTCTCCAATTTTCCCCCCCCCTCGTCGGTCATGTTCCCTTCCCCTCTCGCTCTCTCCCACCCCCATTCCTCCCCTGCCATGTTTCGTCGGGTCCGTGCTGGCCCGAGTAGCTCTCAGGAATCCCTGATCCGTTCCTCTCGCGCTTCCGCCCCAGGGAGACCCACCCCCATCCCCTACTCCTTGGCATCGCTCGGACGTGTGTATTTTTTCTTCGGCGAGGACCATCGAGGAGCATCCTTGACAATTTGGCGAACAAAAACACGCACGAAACCAAAAAAACACAGGGAATGGACGTCCGAGCGATGGAGAGACTCTGCCCTGGGCATTCCCAAGTGGGCCTCGTCACAAGTCAGCCGAGGTGAGCGAGGGCTCTGGCCAGGCGCTGGTCCCGCCCGAGCTGCAGCGGCCCGCGCTGCTCACAGAGGACACCCACCCAGAGCTTGTCCTCGCCCTGCCTCTCTCCCTCGAACGTTCTCTGGGGGGGTCGATAGCCCCAGGAGGCACCCTGGTCCCGCCCGAGCTGCAGCGGCCCGCGCTGCTCACAGAGGACACTCACCCAGAGCTTGTCCTCGCCCTGCCTCTCCCTCGAACGTTCTCTGGGGGGGTCGATAGCCCCAGGAGGGACCTGGAGAGATCAGGGGCAGTGCGCACCAGTCGCGCCTCGCCGAGGGTTTTTGTTGGGGGGCGACGCGCGCCTCGTCCCCGCCGTGCTCCCGACGCCCCGAGCTCTGGCCGAAGAGCACAGGCTGTGCGTCGTTGCGTTTATCTACCTGCGACGCCTCTCGGAACGGCACCGCCTGCCAGACGTGCTGAGCGTCATCGGGACTGCCCCCGCGTGCGCGTGTGCGGCCTGCGGCGGCGCCCGCCTTTGGTCAGGAGGGGAAAAAACACAGACACTATTAATCGTCGACTCCCAGGAAAATATGGAAAAATATGGAAATTGGGGGGGAAGACAAAAACCCAGAAAATATAGGAAAATAGAAGGAATCCTGTTATTTGTGTGTATTTATTTGTGTGTCCCAGGGCCCCTTCATTTGGACCCGAAGACTTGCGGAGGGCCTGCACAGGCCGCCAGCACAACAGGCACATCGGGTACGGCACCGGCATGCCGGAGGGGTGAGTGGCCCGGCGGGCCCCTCTGGAATCTCGGGATGTCCCGGGCACCCCAAGGATGGGCGAAGGGTGCGGCCCTAGAGTTCTGCTAGGAAGTAAGAGTCCTGTCGCGTGCGTGTACGTGCTGCACGGGGGCCGCCTGTGGCCTCCCCACTGTCGCACAGGCGCCGTCGACATCGCCTGAAAGGGACAGTTATTTTTTCAGTGCGTGTTGGGTGCCCCCTGGAGAGCCAAGAGTGGTCACGATGCCTCTACAGGCCCCCCGAATGGAAAGAGCGCGTTCTGTGGTCCCCTCCCCCTCCTCCCCTACTTCTCCTCTCTCCTTCTCCTCGGGCCGGCGCCTGCGTCGGCGGCGGCTGGCGGCGGCGGGGACAACGACTTCCTTTTTTGGGCCATCGCCGGCGCCTGCGACGGCAGACGGCGGCGGGCGGCGGCGGCGGTGAGCGTCGATGAGGACGACGGCGACGACGATGGCGACGACCGCGACGCTCCGCCACCGTGCCTTGGTTTTGGGCCAGAGTCCTAATCGATGCCTTCTGGGGTCTCGTCGGAGGGCTCTCGAGAGCCTCTGTAGGGCATTTGTGCAGCCTCCTGGGCACCTTTTGGGCGTTTCTTGGGGCATCTCTGAGGTGGTGGTGGTGGTGCTGGCCTGTGGTCGTGGTGGTGGCGGTGGTTGTGGCGGTGGTGGTGGTGGTGATGGTGGTGATGTGGTTGTTGGTGGTGGTGGTTGTTGCGGTGGTTGTGGTGGCAGGTTGTGGTGGTGGTGGTGGTGGCGGTGGTGGTGGTGGCGGTGGTGGTGGTGGTGCGGTGGTTTCTGGTGGTGGTGGTAGTTGTGGTGGTGGTGGATTGTGGTGGTGGTGGTGGCGGTGGTGGTGTGGTGGTTTGTCGTGGTGTTTGTGGTGTTGGTAGTGGTTGTGGTGGTGGTGTGTTGTGGTGCTGGTGGTGGTGGTGAATGTGGTGGTGGTTGTGGTGGTATGGTGGTTTGTTGTGGTGGTGAATGGTTGTGGTGGTGGGTGGTGGTGGTGGTGGTGGTTTGGTGGTGGTGGTGGTGGAGGGATGTGGTGATGGTGGCGGCGGTGGTGGTGGTTGTGGTGTGGTGATTTGTGGTGGTGGTGGTGGTAGCGTGGTGGTGTTTGTGGTGGTGGTGATGGTTTGTTGTGATGGTGGTGAATGTGGTGGTGGTTGGTGGTGGTCGTAGTGGCGGTGGTGGTGGTGGTGAGTGGTCGTATTTATGGTGGTGGTTGTGGTGTGGTGGTTTGCTGTGGTGGTGGTGTGGTGGTGGTGGTGGTGGTGGTGGGTGGGTGGTGGTGGTGGTGGTGGTGGTGTGTGGTGGTGGTGGTGGTTTGGTGGTGGTGTGGTAGTGGTTTGTGGTGGTGGTGGTGGTTATGGTGGTGGTGGCGGTGGTGGGGGTGGTTGTGGTGTGGTGGTTTGTGTTGGTGGTGGTGGCGGTGGTGGTGGTGGCGGTGGTTTGTGGAGGTGGTGCTGGTGATGGTGGTGTTCGCAGTAGTGGTGGTGGTGGTGTGGTGGTTTGTGGTGGTGGTGGGTTTCTCTGCTGGTAGTGGTGGTGATTGTGGCGGTGGTGGTGGTGGTGTAGTAGATTGTGGTGGTGGTAGTGGTGCTGGGTTGTTGTGGTGGTGGTGGTGGTGAGTTGTGGTGGTTGTGGTGGTGGTGGTGGTGACTGTGTTGGTGCTGGTGGGTGTGTGGTGGATTGGTGGCGGTGGTGGTTTGAGGTGGTGGTGGTGGTAATGGTGGTGGTGGTGGTGGCGTGGTAGTTTGTGGTGGTGGTCGTGGTGGTGGCTGCGGTGTTGGTGGTGGTGCTGCTGCTGCTGCTGGTAGCGGCGCTGGTGGTGGTGGTGGGTGGTGGGTGGTGGTTGTTGGTGGTGGTGGTTGTGATGGTTGTGGTTTGGTGGTTTGTGGTGGTGGTGGATTGTGGTGATGATTGCGGTTGTGGCGGTGGTGGTGATGGTGGTGGTAATGGTGCGGTGGTTTGTGGTGGTGGTGGTTGTGGTGGGTTGTGGTGGGTTGTGGTGGTGCTGGTGATGGTGGCGTTTTTGGTGGTGGTGGTGGTGGTGGTGTTGTGGTTTGTGGTGGTGGTGGTTGTGGTGGTAGGTTGTGGTGGTTGTGGTGGTGGTGGTGGCGGTTGTGCTGGTGGTGTGGCGGTTTGTGGTGGTGGTGGTGGTGGTGTGGCCTCCTGCTCTTCCCGCCACCGTGTTTGGGCTTCGGGTCAGAGTTCTAATGGGTGATGCCTCTTGAGGTCTCATCAGAAGGGTCTCGATTGCGTCTGAGGAGCGTGTGTGAAGCTTCGTGGACCTTCCTCAGGGCCTCTTCGGTGGCTTCTGGCAGCGAGGGCTCGATAAGGCGAGTTGCGTGTTCCCTCTGCGGCCTCTGGGTTCTCTCTGGTGATCGTCGCTGCGTCCCCGCCGTCGGCGCTGCTGGCCGCCGCCAGCGCCGGCGCCGACGCCGGCGCGGGGGAGGGGGGGTTTGGACCCCCCCCGTCCCTCTGGGCCCTCTCTGGTCATCGTCGCTTCGTCCCGTCCCTGGTGTCGGCGCTGCTGGCGGCCGCCAGCGCGGGCGCCGGCGCTGGGGGCGGGCGCCGAGTTGGGGGGGGGGTTGGACCCCCCCTCCCCCTTGGGAGGGGGGGGGGTTCGGGAGGGGGGGAGGGGAGTCCCCCTCGTTCGGATCGACGGCGCCGAGTGTTGGGGGGGGTCCACCCCCCGTTTCGAAACGCGCCGCCGAATGTTCCCGAGGCAAGCGCCCGTGAAACGCGCTCTCTCCCCGAATGCGTCACTGCGTATCAGCGGGTGGCTCCCTTGATTTACTATCCGCGCTATTTCTGGAACTTCCAGTGGCTTCCCAGGTCTTCCCAAGATGCCCCCCCTTTCCTGTAAAGGACTTGCCAGAGTTTCCCAGAGCTTCCCCTGCACCCGCAGAAGGCCACCAGTGCTTCCAAGCAGTCGAGGGACCCCCTCACCATGGGCATCCAACGAGCCTCTGAGACTCCATCCCAAAGGCCCCCCGTGTCTCTCAGGCTTCTCCAGGATTTTCCAGGATCTTGCCAGGGCACGACTCCCCAGGAGGGCCACACGATCTCCTGGAGGCCACGCAGCCTCCCAAAGGGGGCAGCGCAATTTTATTACCCTGCAATGTCAACTTGCAATATGCCCGATTGCGCCGCCGTCTCTTGGCGACCAAGCCCCGCTCTATTACGTTGCCTCAGTCCCATCAGTCCTACTTGTGTTCCTGCAAGCACGCCATTTTGCTTCCCAGCCAGGGGCGGCAGATTTTCAAGTCTCAGGCGGGAGCACTTGTCGCCTCAGCTGGACGCGGCTCGAAAAGCTGGCCAGAATGTTGCCCGGGAAGCGTCCTTGGCGCGGCTTTGGGCGGACCCTGGTCGGGAGGACATGGTGGTGAGGCTGGACACGGCTGCTGCCAGCATGACAGACCCCACCGAGCGCGCAGAGCTGCACGGCAGGGAGCTGCGATCGGACATGGCCGCCTTCAAGGCGGCAAACCACGGCGCCATTCTGGAGGACTTTGTGGCGTGGCGGACCGACGCAGAAAGGTCTCGCAGAGCAGAAATCGCACACTTGTGGCGTTGCGCTCCGGTGGCCTGGAGCACGCGAGACCCTTTTGAAATATTGCGTTTTCTTCAAACGGTGCTTGCACTGAGGGGGGCAGTGCGCCAGTGGAGGGCGTCAAGGAGGTGCCTAAGCAGGATCGGCAGCCGCATGAGCAGACGCATCAGCAGGAGCAGCTAGCCGAGCAGGCAAACGGACAGAAAGAGGAGCAGCAGCAGGAAGAGGAGAAGCAGGAGGAGGGATGAGGGAGGACGAGGACGAGAAAGGTGAGAATGAGGAGGAGGAGGAGGAGGAGGAGGAGGAGGAGGAGGAGGAGGGAGGAGGGGAGGAGGGAGGAGGAGGAGGAGGAGGAGGAGGAGGAGGAGGAGAGGAGGAGGAGGAGTGTGGTGCAGGCCCGAGGCTCGGGCTCCGCAGGTTGAGCCTTGACGCCTTCCCGCTGGACTGGCTCCGCGCCGTCTTCCTGGAAGTGGAGCCCCGCCCGGCGGGTGAGCAGCAGGACGCGGTGCTCTTCCGGCCAGAGCAGGACCCGCAGCCCAAGGGCGGTAGTCACCACCCACCAAACCACCCCAACCCAACCCGAAGGCTCAGATTTACCCTCGATTTCCAGTCGGGGAGGGGGGTCGGGAAACATGGAAAAAACACATGTGGAACCCTTACCCCCCCCCAACCCGAAATTCGGGTCTTTGGGTCGGGTTGGGGTGGTCTGGTAGGCAGTCAGGTAGGATCGTCCGAGCAGGAGCTGTCAAGCAGTGGAGAAGGTTGGCGCGGGATCCGCGGCCCGAGACTCGTCTCCACCCCTCTGCCTTCTCCTCCCTCGCTATGGGAGGAGGTCCTGCCTCGCTGCACCGATTCCGTGACACATGCATTTTCCTCACTGTGCGAGTCCAGGGTTTTTGTATCGGGCTTGGCAGGCTGTGTGAGGCTGCGTGCGGCTGGCAGTCGGACTGGAGATATGTGGTGCGTTGCGAGTTCCCTGACCTTCCCTTTCCCCCCCTCTCCAAAATATTGCGCTGTTTTTAGATTTAAAAAAAAATCTGCCTTCTCCTCCATCGCTGGTGCTTGCTGCATGCCAGTTCTCCCTGCCGTGCGGGAGGGGTGTTATGGCGGGGCGACGGCGCGCCTGCCGGCTACCGCACAGGAGGCGGAGATGGCGCTCCACTATCCGCAAGGGCTTTTCGCCCCATGCCGCCGGCCCCCTGTCTCGGATACTCCAGACTTCGTAATAAAAGGGAGGGGGTCACATTTCGGGGGGGGGTCTCTTCCAGGCCATCTCGGAGGGCCTGGGGGGGTCTGGGGACGATGTTTTGGAGGGTTCTCCAGCGGGGGGGGGATCTAAAACTTCTCGTCTGGGAGGGTTGAGACCCCCTCCCTGTTATTACGGAATCTGGAGTAATCGGAGATGCAAAAGCTAAATCATGCGGTCTGGGCGCCGCCGTGAAGCAGTGTCAGGACCTGTTTGTTTTGCGACCCTGACCCCACGGATCTGCGTCACGGGTGCCACCGAATCTCAGAAATGTAACAAATCCCTTATGTTTTTGTACCCTGACCCTTCCGATCTGCGCGAGGGGTGCCGCCGAATTTTAGAATTGTGGCAAATCCCTTGTGTTTTTGGACCCTGACCCTTCCGATCTGCGTGAGGGGTGCCAGCGAATTTCAGAAATGTGGCAAATCCCACGTGTTTTTGGACCCTGACCCCGCCGATCTGCGTGAGGGGTGCCAGCTCTGCGTGAGGGATGCCACCGAATTTCAGAAATGTGGCAATTCCCCTGTTTTCTTGGACCCTGACCTCACCGATCTGCGTGAAGGGTGTTAAATTTTACCCACCCCAGCAATTCAGAGCACATGCTCAGGGCGTGGTAAAAATACCTGTGTTGGGCCTCCCCCCTCGCGCGGTCCATCAACAAGGAACAGTAAGCAGCAAGAAGCAGAACTGTAACAATGGAAACTGGAAGTTGCAACTGGTACAGGAAACTGCGAACCTTCGCCCTACAGCCTGGTGGCCCCACAAGGAGGCCGGCGGATTTGGAGAACATCGACGGCACGCAGCTCCTCCTTCAGCTCTTGCGGGCCCTGCTGCGCGTTACCTTGGAGGATGCGGGGAGAAGGGTCAATGGAACTGGATGGAGGGACAGAGGGACTGGAAGAGATGGAGAGGGACGGGAAGACGCGAATGAGTTGGACATGGATGACCATGAGTCCTGAGGGAGGGACGTCGAGGGGAAAGGGGTAGACGGAGGGATGCCCCCCGACGTGGTGATTCCTTTCGCTTCGCGGGGTGCACGTCCGGAACATGCACAGTCCAGTCGTTGTGGGGCCTCCCAGGAGCCTTTTGGCAGCCTCTTGGGGGCCTCTTGGGGGCTTCTTGGGGCCTCTTGGGGGCTTCTTTGGGGCCTCTTGCGGCCCCCTGGGGGCGGCTTGGGCCGTCTTGGCGCGCTCTTGCGCCGTCTGGACCCTTCGGAGGCCGTCTTGGGGGCCTCTCGCGGCCACATTGGGGCTCTCTTGGGGTCCTCTTGGGCCGTCTTGCAGGCGTCTTGCGGCCTCTTTGGGCCGTCTTGGGCCGTCTTTGGGCCCTCTTGGTCCGTCTCGGGGCCCTCTCGGGGTCTTCCTGGGCCGTCTTGGGGCCTTCTCGGAGGTTGCTTCGTCCGTCGCGGGCCTCTGAGAATCGAAATAAAGCGAGATCGCTCAAAATCTGTCAAGAACCATAGGACACTCAATGACTTTGGCTCCTGGAGGCTCTCTTCTGGGTCCTCTTGGGGTCCTCTGGGGCCGTCTTGGGGGCTTTTTCGGGCCCCCTTGGAGCCATGTTGGGCCGTCGTCGAGCCATCGCGGTCCATCTCAAGGCCATCTAGAGCTGCCTTGAGGCCCTCGAGGGGAAAGGGGTCGACGGACGAATGCCTCCCGACGTGATGATTCCTCTCGCTTCGCGGGGTGCACGCCCGGATTGCGGAGACTGCGGGCGTTTGGGTCGTTTTGGAAGATGTTCGTCGTTTTCTACGGGCATCGATTTCGTGAGACTCGGCTGACCTTTGGGGGGCGCTCCAGGCCGTCCGCGGGCGCGCCCAGGGTCGTACGGATCCGTCGAGAGCCGCCTGAAAGAGGTGCGCTCGACCTCGCCGCGTGCGCCGAGCCAGGAGCCGCACCGCAGCGTTCGGTCGGCGGGCCGCCCGTGCAGTCGGGGTCCTGGAGAAGGAGCCCTTTTCGTTGGGGAGGGGCTCCGCGTTCCTTGAGTGTTTCGCAGCTTGCCTCGGGTTTTCCTGACGTTTTCGATCGGAAATCGAAGCTCAACTCATGGAGAAAAGGGGCCTCGTTCCTTATTTTGGGCTCCTTAGGTCAAGGCCCCGATTGTGCACGCTCGGGAGGGGAGAAGAGCAGCAATGTCACGCCGCCGTGGGGGGCCAGCCAGCGTCTGGCTCTGGAGGCGCTCCTGAGGGTCCTCTCGTTGGGGCGTCTTAGGGGGATGTCCAACCCTCTTGGGGTCATCCTGGGCCGTCTTGAGGGCGTTGTCGCCCGTCTTGAGGCCATCTGGAGCCGTCATGAGGCCCTCTTGGGGATCCCAAGAAGGCGAACAGGTCGAAAGCATAGATGTTCTGTAGGTTTGGGTAGGTTGCTGGGCCCCGGAAGGGGAGTGTCAAGTTGGGTCGACGGATGCGGCGTAGCGTTGGGGGGGAGTTATGGGGGGTAGACATGATAATGTCTCACACGACGACATGCACCAATTATGTAAGAACGGGATACATCGCAATTGTGCAATCATTGGACACATCGGGCACGTTGCATGATCGATTCCGCAGAAACGCTGCCGCTCAGCACGTCGCTTCCGGACGTGGGTTCCTGTCGCTTCGCGGGGTGCACGTCCGGAGTACGCACGGTCAAGTCGTTTTGTGGGCTATCGGGGGTCTTTGGGGGGATTTCTTTGGGGTGTCTTTGGGCTTACTGGGGGCGTCTTGAGCAGTATTGGGCGCTGTTGCGCTGTTTGGCCCCTGCGGAGGCCGTATTGGGGGCCTCTCGCGGCCGCCTGGGGGCTCTCTTGGGATCCTCTTGGGCCGTCTCGGGGGCCCCTTGGGCGTCTTGGGGACCTCTTTGGGCCGTCTCGGGGCTCTCTGGGGCCGTCTCGGGGTCCTCTCTGGCATTTCTTGAGCCGTCATGGGGTGATTTTGGAGGCTGGGCCGTCTCGGGGCCGTCGTGGGCCGTCTAGAGCCATTTCGAAGCCGTCTTGGGCCCCCGGGAGGGCCACGGCGCCCAAATTGCTGATTTTCCATAAGTTCTGGTGGTTTTTGAAGCCCAGAAGGGGTTCACCATCTTTGGGTCGGTAGATGTGGCGTGGCCCCTGGGGGGGTATTAGGGGGGACATTCGAATGTAACACATTACAGCATGTAGCAATTATGCAGTCATCGGATACATTGGACACGTTGCAGGAAGGCGTTCGCCAGAGAACGCTGCCGCTCAGCACGCCACCTCCGGACGTGGATTCGTTGGGTTTCCGCGCCATCCGCCGACCCCGTGGAGCGATCAGGGGACAGCTCGGGCCACCGTGCACGCGGATAACACCAAAGTGGGGAACACATTGAAATCGCACGCTTTTTGTAAAATCTGTGGATATTCGCTTCTTGGGGTTCCCAGGGAGTCTCCGAGACATCGAGGGCTGTTGGAAGCTTTCTGGGGGCCGTTTAGAAGCCTTCTGGGCGCTCTTTGGGAAGGCGCATTTTGGATTGTCGTGGGCTGTCGTGGGCCTCTCTGGGACTGTCTTGGGGCCCTGTTGGGCTGTCTTGGGCCGTTCCTGGGGTCCTCTAGGGCTGTCTGGGAAGCCTCGTAGGCCGTCCTGGGGCCGGGTGGGGCCGTCTTGGGGCCCTCGCGGGGGCCTCTTGGGCCGACTTGGGGCGATCTAGGAGGCCTCGGAGGCCGTCTTGGGCGTGTTGAAAACCCAAGGAACAGATCTGGGAGGCCTCGGAAACCGTCTTGGACGTGGTGAAAAGCGAGAAGACGAAGATGCTGAAAACGTCAAGTTTCCTACGGGAATGGGACGGTTTTTGCTTGTCGGGCCCTCTGGGGGGTCCCCCTATAGCCCTGTTGGAGCGTCTTGGAGGAATCCGCCGACCCTGTCGGCGTGTGTGAGGGGCTTCTCCGTTCGACTCGTCGTCTCCGTCGTCTCCGTTCTCCCCCTCCCAGGGCTCTCCTCCTCAAGCGCGCTATCCAAAGCGAAATTAAACGACGTCGTAGTGGAGTCGAAGGGAAGCCCCTTCCCTTTGATCCCTTCCCCGCAGGGGGGGGGGGGGGGGGGGGGCCGGGGCAGATACGACGCCCGCCGGGGCGCACTTTCCTCGAGCGGGCACGCACGGGATGCACTTCCTCCTCCTCCTGGTCCTCCTCCTCCTCCTTTCCTCCTCCTCCTCCTCCTCCTCCTCCTCCTCCCTCCTCCTCTCCTCCTCCTCCTCCTCCTCCTCCTCCTCCTCCTCCTCCTCCTCCTGCTCCTCCTCCTGCACCTCTCCTCCCTCTTCTCCTCCTCCTCCTCCTCCTCCTCCTCCTCCTCCTCCTCCTCCTCCTCCTCCTCCTCCCGCAGAGGCGTCCCGGGAGCGGGCCCCGAGTCAAAATACCCCCCCCCCCAGGGCGTGTTTCCTCGAGCGGGCACGCCCGAGATGCACTTCTTCCTCTTCCGGGAGCACGTCCAAGTCAGAATATCACATTCCCGGGGCGCACTTTCTTCGAGCGGGCACACAAAGGATGCACTTCCTCCTCCTCCTCCTCCTCCTCCCTCCTCCTCCTCCCTCCTCCTCCTCCTCCTCCTCCTCCTCCTCCTCCTCCTCCTCCTCCTTCCTCCTCCTCCTCCTCCTCCTCCTCCTCCTCCTCCTCCTCCTCCTCCTCCTCCTCCTCCTCCTCCTCCTCTCAAGCAATCTGGGCTCGAGCGCAAGTCCCTCGCCCCCGTGCGCAGGGCAGTTTCTCGCTCCGAACCCAGCCTCGGTACCTCCCCGTGGTGCTTGGAGCACACCGCTTCTCTCGGGCTGAAGATCTGCCCGTCTCTCCCGTGATAGAGTGGTGACGAAATCCGAGGTTTCCAGCATCCATGGCGCCATGGTCGGCATGCCGCTCGTGTGGGCAATGTGAATACAATGATAAACTCGAGCAGCGTGATCGGAAGTGTGCCCGCTGTGGACGCAAGGTGAAGCTCTACGTACAGAGGCCCAAGAGTCCCAGTGCGCCGAAGGGTATCATCAAGAACTTGAGTTTCGCCAAGGACAGCGATGCAGGTAGCAACCAGTCCACGCCCCGTGGCTCCAAGGCGGGCAAGGGCTCGCGTGGACAGGCTGGTGAATCATCAGCCCGCAGCCTCCTCGAGCAGGCGATCGCTGCCGCGCAGGACCCCAAGCTGAAGGACGCCTTGACGCAGCAGGTCGCCCAGCTCAAGCGCGAGGAGGCTCAGCACCAGCAGCCCAAGGACGCACTTCCCTCTCTTCAGAGGGCTGACAGTGCGTGGAGGGATGCCAACAATCGCCATACCCAAGCAGTTCAGTCAGTTCTTCGCATTCGTCGGCAACTGGAGGCAGCGGAGCTCAAGGAGCGTCGTCTGGCCGAGGAGCTGGCGGAGGCGACCATCGTGAAGCAGCAGGCCGCGCGTGCACTGGCAGCGGCCGAAGGTGTTGTGCCCAAGCCCGAGGGGAAAGCCGACGACAAGAGTGGCAAGCCTTTCGAGCTCGTGTACGACCACACGCTGTTCGACAACCTGGATGAGTTGGAATGCGAGGACTCCGAGAAGGAGACCTTGAGGAAGATTCATAGCGAGCTGCAGTCAGCCAAGACCACCCTCGACGGCAAGGCCGACGAGGTCACCATGATGCTGAAGAATGCCCAGGACATGCGCCAGGCCATCAAGGACCGCTTCATGAAGAAGAGGCGCACGGCCGAGGACCAGGCCGCACCCCCCGCAGCGCCGCAGCCAGGCGAGGCCGTGCCTGCAGCCAGCGGAGGCAGCGGCAGCGGCAGCCAGGCGGCGGCGGCGGCGGCGCCGCAGGCGCCCGACGGTGCGGCAGCAGGCGCGGCTTCAGCTGATGTCCATGCAGAGCGAGTTCGTGCTGAGGCCGCCAAGCTCTCAGCCGCCAAG